CACATTATACAGGCCTCCTTGAGGTTCTTAGGCTCTTTCAAGAGGAGCTGGAACCGGACCATGGGGGGTAGATCTGCCTTCAGTCGGTCGATGATCATCTCCTCCATGTTCTTAGTCCTGTCCGCTTCAGAGAGTTCGGGGAACTTCTCCTTGGTATAGTACCGGTTGAGGTGTCGTTGTAGGGCTGCAGCATAGAGAGCCGGGTGCTGACCTTTGGACCAGCGTAGTTCTTGGAACTGTTTCAGGGCTCGGTGGGGACGGACATGATCAAATATCTTCAGGAGGGACTTCTTGTCTTCCTCGAAGTTCACCTTCTTAGCATAAGCATCCCAACCAGATAGAAAGGGTTCCTTCAAGTACAGACCAAGGCGTTCTGCCTGCTGTTGAGTGGACCATCCGGCGGCAAGGGCACATTGCTCATAACGTCTTAGCCAATCCTTAAAGCTACCGGAGATACCATCGAAAGCAGGGGGCATCGAGAGACTAATCCTCAAGGGGGCGGCTTCATCAACCTGGGGGCGATTATCACCAGTATTATTCGTCATTGGGCTCGTCGTCGATCAACAAGGAGCTGCTACCAGAATGTTGTGCCTGTTACTGGGCAACACAACTAGTAGCCAGACTTCAGTGGATAACGTAGTCGAACTTCACAACAAGGGCAGACCTTCGTGGAAGGGCAGCCGAGTGAGAAGGATCAAAAAGGAGTTGTAACTCTACTTATCCTAAGTTCATGATCACACAGTGCGCATACGTGCATAGCGCGATCGATGGCGAGCGAATATAAGTGATCAGACGATAACGATTACAAGGGCGAGCGCGTAGGGCGCGATCCCTACAAACAACGCCTGTATTTTACCAAACCCGAATTTAACCAATACAAAACCGCGCGCCAATATAATCGATAAAAAGGGTAATGTTTAAACAAAATCGGAATTTATATTTTTGTCACGATTTTTTCCAAAATATTGCTAATGTTCATTTCTAACTCGAAAACACAATCCTGGAAGAAATAAATAAGTTAAGTATTCTGATCCGAAGGTCGCTGGTTCGATTCTATGTTATTCTTTCTCGTTAGGACTCTTGATGTTTCTTGCATATGCGGTAACTTGTCGTTTTTTAAACTGTTTCTTCTGTATTTGCAAATGAGCGAACGATGTTTCCCCTGCGTAGTGGGCTTTTTCTTTCTTTTTTTACCTACGAACTAGCTCACAAGCTTAATTAGTTATCCCCGACTATGTGTTAAGTGGTCTTGTTAGAGACTGGTAGTGA